AGCGCGCATACGCGCGCCTAGGCCGCCACGGCCTGGTGAGGGCGATCCAACCGCAGGCGCCAGCAGCCATGACATCACCAGAGCCGACGGGGCTTTTTTTTTTTTATATTTTTTTTTTTTTTTTATTTACTTTAATTTTTTTTTATTTTTTTTTTGTTTTTTTTCTTGTTTTTTTTCTTGCTTTTGTTGTTTTTTTTTTTAATTTTTTTTTAATTTTTTTTTTTATTTTTTTTTTTTTTTTTTTTTTTTTAATTAAATTTCTTTTTATTTAATGGTGGCAACAGTGGCGCTGGCAGCTCTGACGATCACCGTAGACTGCCACCAGTTGCAGCAAGGCGCGGACGCATGGAGGGAGGAGATCCTCCACCACCGCCGCAGCCTCAAGCAGAGCCGAGGCCAAGGCCAAGGCTCCCTGATTGGACTCGCTTCGACGTTCAGCTCAGCCTCCAAAACCTGCGCAGCTTCGACCAGCTGTAGTGCAGCGAGAACTCCGCAAACTCCACCTGAGATGGTTTCATGCCAAGGAGCCAAAAATGCGGATGATTCTAACCAAGGTTGGTCTGGGTGAAACCCGTTTGAGTCTGATCAAAGGCATTTGTGACTCGTGTAGAGAATGTCGAGCCTGGGACGAACCAGGCAACACGGTGATGCCTTCTGTGTCACTGCCAGGACGTTTCAACGAGGAAGTCGAATGTGATCTTTTCTTTTATAAACAGGAACATATTGTTTTTCACATCATCGACCGTTGTATTCGCTGGGCAGCTGGCACAGAGATTCCTGATAAAGCTATGCATACTGTTCTCGACGCCTATCATACGACTTGGATGCAGCATGGCCCTGCTAAAATTCTATACTCCGATGGGGAAGGAGCACTGAATAATGATACAGCAAAGGCCATCCTTAAGGCTAAGGGAACAGAGCTTCGTATTCGAGCGCGTGGCCAACACGCTACAACTATCGAAGCTAGGACCGGCATCCTTCGACACCTCCTACACGTGATGGGAGAAGAATTGAATAGATTACATATCCCTCTCAATTTCACTCGTCTCTTACATGAAGCCTTGTTTGCCAGCAACGCATTTACCTTCTATAATGAAGTGTCTCCGTACAATGCGCTGTATGGTAGACAGCCAGCTATGCTTCCTGATTTCCCTGTCTTGGATCATGATCAGCCCACTGAATCATCAGATCACTCAAGGGACGAAACAATCAGGAGGGTTAGTCTGGAGGCAATCACGCAGGCCACTGCGGTTGCCAAGACGAACAGGGCTCTCCGTACAAAGACTACTGCTACGGGTGAATTTCACTATAAAGAGGGAGATCTCGTGGACTATCATCGCCCGACCACCACGAAAGACGACTGGGGTGGATGGAGTGGCCCATACCCGGTCATCCGCAACGAACCTGACCGAGGCCAGGTCATCGTGAAGGTCGGCAATCGCGAAGTACGAGTACAGTATCCTGACACACGACACACACAGTACATCGAAGCACTTATGGTCCGCGAGATAGGATCGGACAATACGGCCCTTCGAACAGTATTGGCCTTTATTGCCGGTCTGCCAGCGGGGAAACCCGCCATGACTTTTGGATATCTACCAACGAAACAGGGTCGGCTGCAGATGACTGCTGCGAGCCGACTGTCACCTAAGGTGCACTTGGCTCTTCAGTACCTCATGCGCAACTACTTTCGTATTGAAAACGTTGTCGCTGTACGACTCGCCAAGAGCTTGACGAAGCTGCCTGCCGCACCCTATGCAGACAGCTGTACACTAGTGCACTATGATAACGATGTGACCCCTGGGTTTCATTACTATGAAGCTGATGGCACTGCCTTGAACATCTATGACATCACAGGATCTACACACTCACGCATCATCCAGTGTCTTAAGTCCAGGAAGCCTTCTGCTGGGTTTGACCAAGACCTCACTAAGTTTGAGGAACTCGCTGACGGTCCACCACCGAGCGAATCACCTCCAGCAGCTGCTCCTGAGGAGCCTCCTACGGACAACGATGGTCGACTCCCGACTATCATAGAGGAGACAGAAGAAGATCTGGATGCTTTTGTCTTGAAGTCGTGGTATGCTGAACTGATGGATGACAGAACACTCCTTGAAGCTGAAACAGAGGAAGTCATGCATACAGTTCCTACATACATGACAGACACACAGTGTGTGTTAGTCTCTACGACCTGTGAAGACGTGCAAGGCCACTTGCCGGAGCGGGGTCACCCGCCAGGATACGACATGGACACTTCTTACTACGTTCCTTTATGCTCCACGGAACCGGATAGCAAATATGATCTGGACTCCGATGAGCACGGGAAGTATATCGAGCTTTGCTTCACTGCAGACATGTCCAAGGTCGTCCTGTCCGAGCAGCAACACCGACTGTTGGATGACAGCAGCGTCACAACTATGCGAGTATACGTTAGCGCTGCCTCCAAACGTGCCGTGGTCGTCAAGGAAGACGATCTACTCACGAAGGCCGACATCCAAGC